CAGAACACGGAGAAGCATAACTAAAAGAATAGATGAACTTAGGAACGTGGCATCTGACTTCCTCCAATTCTGGTCCAAATTAGGACTGTGCTAAAAAAATTCATTCTCAAGAACGACCATACACAAGCTCTCTTGTACAGCTCCAAATACAGATTTCGAATCCTGCACATTTCTTACTCAAAATTAAAGTAGTTGTGCATATTCATTTCATCGATTTCTATCGACAAAGAGATAAAAGTCAAGGTCAAATGGATCTGTCAGTCATGGTTTGCAGCGGTAGTCGTGGTTCTTCCTCTAACAGTGTTCACTTCGTTATCCATTATTATCGAAATAGTAGGTCGAATTTCTAGCCCAAGTTTTTTCTGTCGTTGTAATTGTCTTAGTTTAATTGATAAACGCGAATGAAATTTCTTGGAACTTGCTAATCGACTTAAGTTTGCTTGTTCGGCTTTTCGTCTTCTATATCTTCGAAAATAATCTTGAAGTAAACATGTTGCATAGAATTGTCTCATCGTTACTCTATTTTCAGTGCTGTCTGAAAGAAAGCAGACAGACATTTTCAGACTTTGAATGCATTACTAAAGGAAACACACACCTCTTTCTAATGACAATGGTAGAATCGTATTCAAAAGTTCATCTGATGTGTCCTGCCATTGTTTTTTTATAACAACGCGTAATTTTTCATTTGATTGATCTACGTTAATTTTTAATGCATTACGAACTAACGCAAATAAGACTGCATTAAACGGTACTGTATCATCATCATTATTTGATGGTATAGACATTGAACAGAGTTTCTGTAATGAAGAAGTCAGACAGTTAAATTTCTAACTTTGAAATAACGCAGAGTTCATTAAAACTAACCTTATATACTAATCGATCTGGACATAGTTTGCCAAAACCAAGTGGTGGATTTATTTTTCGTAATAAATTAATTAGATCATAATGTTTTATTTTTCCACTACAAAGATAGAAAAAGGCAACAACAAACACAATGGCCTGGTCGCGCATAACGATAAAGTATTTTAGTGTATTTTTTATAAAACTATGCAAAAACAAAGAAAAAACGCAATTTTCGCACAACTGCACACTACTCGAGGTCTGTGACGCAATATTCGTCAGTTTGGAAGTAAATAGTAGTCCACTACAGAGGTAGATCGTTTCAAAAACAGCTTGAAGCGTATTTCCGTTACGACTAATTCTCTCTGTTTGAATTCGTAAATCAAATACACTAGCACGTTCTAGCCCAAAATGTGAGACATGAAAAGTGCAGTCGATTTTTTACCTTTGTTTTTCTCTTACTTTCCAGCTGGATCATATTCAGTCCATACATCTACAAATTCATTAAGATGCTGTCGTCCGAGGATACTCCAGTCCCGTGTCAGATAATCAAAATTATCCATAATAACAGCAATAAACAGATTGATCATCTAAGTAGCTCAAATAAAGTCCATAAAATCTTTTCAAGTTTTATTTTGTAAAACAAACTTACGAGAAATGAACAGAGTACGTAGAATGAAACAAAGTATGGTATTGCAAACACGCTACCACAATTATCATTCTTATTCAATTTTGTTCGTTTATCACATTTTGGTTTTGAACCTAGTGTACAACTTAACATTACTTCCTGCCATGCTTCACCGGTAGCACATCTATTAAAACAGATTGAGAGAACGTATAGTGGCGCACATATAAAAGAAAATGAATGGATCCTACTTACCGAAATAAGACTATTAATGAACTAAAAAATGTTTGGAAATTATTATATTTATGGATTTCCATATTATCATCCAAAGCGATTTTTCAGAACAACTAAATAAAAGTGAAGAACAAAATGCGACGGTTCAGATTTTCGTAGACGGCGTTTGTTTACCTGCATTCCAATAACAGCATAAACAACGAGGAGTATAAATATCACGAGAGCCACGGAGGGCAACGCCTTAGAAAGGAGAAAAGAATCGATAAACTTTAATGGTA